CATCAGCAGAAATGTAGAGAATTCGGGAAAATTCAGGATATATGTACAAAAAGAAATATCTAGGCTAAAGTGGTTACATTTGGAGAGAAAGATTGGAGTGGACTAAAGGAGGAGTCTAACATCATATTTTTTGTTTACATTTATATTACTTGCATTTATTATGATAAGCATGCATTAGTTTTTTAGTTAAACAAAGTTCAAGGAGAAGGTCAATAAATGAAAAATGATTATAAAATTCATCCAAAATAATATATTTGTGAGAAATAAGAGTATTGAGGGGGAGAATTGCCCTCTGGATTACAAAATATTATAAAACTACAATCATTAAAGTATTATGGTGTTGGCATAAGGACAGATTAATGCAAAAATGTGGCTCAGAAACAAACACTATTATGTGTAAAAATTTTAATAAATTAAGGTGACATCATAAAGTAACAGGGAAACAGTGTTCAGAGACAATAGACAGCTATATGGAAAAAATAAATAAATCTATTTAGGAGATCCTCACATCATACCATATTCCAAAATAAATTCCAGATGGATTGAAAAGTGAAATCAAACAAATGAGAATACTTTAGGATGGTTGATCAGAACCATCCTAAAATATGGAAAAAATAATATTGATGATTTCAATTCCTAAAATTTTAGATGTTTTTGTGTCCAAAAAGTCATAAAAGGCAAGAAAACTGATAAAAATATTTTCAACAGATATAAATGTATAAGATTAATATCCTTAATATAGAAAGAGCTCATACAAATGGATAAAAGGCAAAATACACAGATAATTTACAAAAGAAATAGAAACAGCTAATAAACATAAAATATTCAATCTCATTAATAAAAAAATATTTTGCCTTTGAATTAGGAAAGAATTTTTTTAAAACATTTTTTGTTAATTCTAAGACTACTAATTAAATGTGAAAATGCTTATATGTTAGGTGAAAATAAATGGATATAAATTTGTATGATTGCAATTTTTTTTTTAATTAAAAAACCAGGGCCGGCCCTGTGGCTTGGTGGTTAAGTGCGCGCGCTGCGATGCTGGTGGCCCGGGTTCGGATCCCGGGTACGCATCGAGGCACCACTTCTCCGTTCATCCTGAGGCCGAGTCCCACATACAGCAACTAGAAGGATGTGCAGCTACGACACACAACTATCCACTGGGGCTTTGGGGGGAAAAATAAAATAAATTAAAAAAAAAAATCTTTAAAAAAAAAAAAAAAAACCAAAAAGAGGGCCGGCCCCGTGGCTTAGCGGTTAGGTGTGCACGCTCCGCTGCTGGCGGCCGGGGTTCCGATCCCGGGCGCACACCGACGCACCGCTTCCCCGGCCATGCTGAGGCTGGGTCCCACGTATACCAACTAGAAGGATGTGCAGCTATAACATACAACTATCTACTGGGGCTTTGGGGGAAAAAATAAATAAATAAAATTATAAAAAAAAAAAAACCAAAAAGAAAAACAATATATGTTTGTATTTGGCATGATTTAGCTTCTTCTCTATATTCTTCTATATTTTCCAGATTCCTTTTTATAATTGCGTATTACTTTTGTAGTCAGAAAAAAAATTCTTCCCCAGAGGCTTCAGGATAAAACCCAAATTCCTTAGCACAGCATATGATAATGATCTGGTTTCTGCCTCTGCTCACCTCTCACCGTTCCTCAGTCCTAACTTTCCTAAGGTCATACCAAATTGCTTGCATTTCCCTAATTGCCATGTGATCACTATTGCAGGTTTATTTGTTTTTATCCTGTATTTCTGCCTAGGGTGCTCTTGAATGCCCTTCCCACCCTCTGACTTTCTTAATTGGCCTCTTTGATTTCAAGCCCCAGCCCTGTGTTTTCAAGGGAGAGCCTCCTATGGGGTGCCTTTGGGGAGTCAGATACCTCCTGCTTTGTGCCATAACACTCTGTGATTCTTTTCTCATAGCACTTATCACACTGAATTGCAATCAGGGTGACCAACCATCCTGGTTTGGCTCTCCCTAATTCTAATTCTCTGTTAACTTGTTCACATCTTAGACTATGAGGACCTTGACTCCACAGACTGTTTACATCATCTCTGGGTTTTTAAAGTTTTATTCTTTGCATTATGCATATTGTCTCTTTTACAATCTTTACCCACCTTAGTCCTGAGTTTATTAGAGGATAGTACACAACAAGTAAATGGAAGGGTCACTGGTCCTCTCAATAGTTGATAAAGGACGGCTCCCACTCTGGTGAGATCCGAAGATGCTAAAAAGTTATTCAAAACTATTTCTGTTATAGGCTTGTCAGAGTGCCAATGAAGTTTCCACTGTAGGTTAAAGCACTCTGGTAATTGGAAGGAACAACATCTTGATTAGTTAATATATTAGGATGGTTTTGTTCATTCTTCCCTTTAGTGGTCATTGTAACTTTGAACAGTTGTTTAAATACTGCTATTTGATACTGCAATCTGCCCCATTTCAGTTCCCTGTTCCCAATTCCCTTGCCCTGCTCTACTTTTCACATTTTCTGTAACATTTATCATCTTCTACATGCTGGTAAAATGTATTTCTTTATTATGTCTATAGTCTACAGTCTGCCCCCACTCCCATCACCACAGGACAAGGATCTTTGTTTTGTTCATCGATGTATCCCAAGTACCTACAAAAGTGCCTGGTGCATAATAGATACTCAATTAAGTATTTCTTGAATGAGCAGATCTGCCTAAATTAGAGATGATTCCTCTTTTTGGTTAACTCATTATAATTTTTTAATCACAAAATGAAAATTTTAAGATATCAACAGAGGCCTTTTACTACCTTTCTTGAAGATAAAAAACAGGACACCCTTAGTAACAACCAATTATTACTTTCTTGACAAGTTAATTGAAATGTAGAAAGCAGGTCAGCATAGTTTCTAAGAAAGAATTTCTAACAAGAAATTTGTAGACATTACATATTCTCCATCCTTACCGTGAGATGTAGCGTGCTAATTCCATGTTTCCCACAAGAAGGGAAAATTGTTCTTTCCTATCTTCATGGTATTTCAGGGGCCATAGAGAGTATGGAGACTCCCAAAACTATTTAGAAACAGTTTGAGAAACAGTTTCTCAAATTTGCATAGCATACTGTAGTAGCCAGCCTCTAAGTTGACCCCCAGTCATCCTTGCCTCCTGATAGTCACACCTTGCGTGGTCCCTCCCACAGTGAATCAGGGCTGATCTGTGCGGCCAACACAATACTGCAGAAGTGACAGTGTTGTGTCTTCCAAGGATTCATCATAGAAAGCACTGCAGTATCTGCACTGGTCTCTGGGATCTTTAGCTCTTGGGGAAGCAAGCCACCATCATGTGGGGACACTAAAGCAGCTCATTAGAAAGACCCACTTAGAAACGAATTTAGAGAGGCCAAAAGGCAGCACCAACTTGCCAGTCATGTAAGTGAGTCACCCAGGAAATGGATTCTCCAGCACCAGTCAAGCCTTCAGATGATCACAGCCCCAGGTGACATTTGCATGCAACTTTATGGAAGACCCTGAACCACAACTTAGCTTCCAAATTCCTGACCTACAGAATCTGTGAGAGATAATAAATGATTACTGTTGTTTTAAGAGTTTTGGGGTAATTTGTTAGATAGCAATAGATAACTAACAAATATATGAATCCCTTTAAAGGAAAAAAATGACTTCTGATGCCATATTAGTTTAATTATTTTTATTATTTTACTTAAGTACAAACATACAGTATGAACTTCTTACACTTATAGCTTTTATACAACTATTAAACCAAAACAGATTTTAAAATTAAATATAGTACAGACAATATTACAAAATAATCAAATAGAAAGTAATTTTAATAGAGGGCTGTTTTGCTGAAATTAAACTGCCAAAGAGACTATGGTACTGACAGGGCCTGAGACGTCTTCTCCTGGGCTATTTAGTTACTTGAATAAATTACCTTTTTTTCTTAAACCTGTTTGACGTGGGTTTTCTGTGGCTTTCAACCAAGGCTTTTCTCAACGATATAGTTAACTTCTGGTTCCACAACTTGTGGAAACTTAAACACCGTAAGCCAGGCACTGATTTTCATCCTCTCCTCCGTCTTAACACCAGTCCCCTGGTTGACTCGCCTCTTCACCCACCACCTCAACCAGGACACTCGTGCCTCTGGCCGAATGCAGGCCAGGAGGGGTCATGTCCCGGGGCGGCAGCATTTTATGTCGAAGGAGCGCCGCCAGAGTCCTTCCCACAGGTTCCTGGGGAGCTGCAAGCTTTCGGCTCTCACGGCCCGCGTCCTATAGGAGGTAGGTATACACCTTGTTCTACTCCTAACTTCCCAGCGCCAGTCTGAAGCCGGGGCACGTGGAATCTTACCCTCGATTGGACCGTCGCGGTCCCACTCCACAGCCTGCTCCCCTGGGTGCGGTCTTACTCATCCCTGCGTTCCTGGAGGATAGAACCAGGCAAAGAGCCCGGGACGTACTGCACAGAACTAACACTGATGACTCATCGCTGAAGGCACGGACATTGGGCTGCGCGCCGCGCTCTTCCGGCCAAGGAGACGTCAGCAGCATCCCACCTCCCACAGAGGGCCAGCATTCGGCATTAAGGAAGGTCTGCCTGATTTAAAACAAAAGTCACTCAGATCTCCTTTAAATCTAAGGCAGCCGGCAACCTTCGCCTCGGCTATGTTTCCCTCCCGGGTTGGGGCGGCCCCTGAGCGCAAGGTCGCCTGCCACTACCTCCCCTCGGCCGTCGGGGGGCAGTAGGCGTCGAGAAGGGATGCGCATGCTCTGTGTGGGGGTTCGCGCTTCGCCTCCGAGACCGCCGAGTGACGGAAGCGAATGCATGGGATTACGGGAAATGTGGTTTCCAAGCCTCGGGATCACTGGTGCGCCCCAGCATAGGCCCACAGCGGGACTTCAACTCCCGGCTGGCCGGCGGGCGCGGGAGGGGACACAAGAGAAGGGGGCGGGGCGAGTGAGAGAAAAGGTGGGCGGGGCCGGGGGAAGGCCAAGCGGGGCGGGGCGGGGCTCCGGCCGGCTGAGCTGCGGTCGCCCGCGGTCTGAGGAACCTGAGGCGCGGGTCCGGGAGCCGCGAGGAGCCTGAACGGCTGCGGGCACGAGGGCGGGCGTGCCCAGAGTGGTCGCGCGGCCGTCGGCCGCCGCCCCGCCACCTTGCTACTTACAGGTCTCCTCCTTCTCCGCCGGGACGCGGGAGAGCCCGGCGCGCGGCGGGGGCGCGAGGTGGAGCCGGCGGGGGCGGCCAATGCGAAACTGGCTGGTGCTGCTGTGCCCGTGTGTGCTCGGGGCCGCGCTGCACCTCTGGCTGCGGCTGCGCTCCCCGCAGCCCGCCCGCGCCTCCGGGGCCGGCCCCGCAGGTGAGGTCCTGGGGCCGGGAGGGCCGGGTGGCCGGCTCCGAGCCTCCGGGCGCCTTCCTCCGCCGGGAGTCCTGAGGTGGAGACGAGCCAAGCACGACGTCCCCAGACGAAACAAATGGCCCTTTTCATCCTTAGGGCGTTAAAATCTGGCAACTTGCGGGCGCTTGTCTCTTGTCGGGTCCCCGCCGCTTCTCACCTCCCGGCTTTCCTTTATGGCCACAAACCCGGGGCCCGCACCCGCAGGTCCGTCTGCCGTCCCTCGGGCCTGGTCGGAGTTGTCCGGCGCCTGCCCGCCGGCCCCGGGAGCGAACCTCGTGTGTCCTTCAGCTGCTGACGCCCGGGGCCGGGCTGCCAGGTTGCATTCTTCCCCCCCAAGTTGTTGGTCTTAGTCGGTCAAAACTTTGAGGTCTTAGTGGCATAGATAATGTTTGGGAGTGTTTTGAAAAGTGGCTGGGTTTTGCTTTTAAGGAATAACTTTAAGAATATACTGTATTTTGTATTCTTTGAAAACTCCATGATGTAAGTCGGTTAAACAAATCTAGGCATGAACTAGAGCATGGCTACGATTGGAGTTGTTCCTGTGAGTTTTGTTTGCAAAGCCTGCTAATGAAGTGTACGTGAAAATAGATTGTTTAACGATAATATCCATTTGCTCTAAAACTTATTCTGTCGTGGGAATGAAATCTTTGTTCTTGTTCACTTCCCAGACTAATAAATAGAATGCTTTGCCCATAGTGAGTACCCAGTGGATTGTTTTTGTTCAAGGGTTCCACCACCCTGAACGCTACTTAAGGTTTCCCAATTTTTCTTGTCTTCTTTTTTAAGGGCTTGCCCTAGGACACATAAAGAAACCTAGAAGGCTCTTTTAAAGATGAGGCAATAGTTGTTTTCCTTTTTCACTACATGGGGAATTTTTTCTTACCACTTCTCCCCCAAACAGCTGTTTTCTTATCCAAAATGTTTAATAATTAGAATTGAACATTTGCAATTCTGAGATGGGTCTCTGCCTTAACATCTAAGTAGAAAGTATAGAAACTAATTCTGCAATCCTCAAAGCAATTTCATTGTTATAATTGGGGTTCTTGATTCTGATAACAATCTCTTAAAATCTTTTAGAACACAAGCTCTTTGAAAAGCCTTTGTGTGTCACTGGAATTGAATTAAAATACTCTTTAAATGATTTCATGAAAGTACAGTGTTACAAGGCATTTAACCTATTAATAGGTTAGAATTTTTTGTTTTGCTTTTTAGGTTTTTGTAAACCGAGCTGAGGAAAGAGTGCCATATATATAAAATGCTTTGTAGCATCTGTTCGGTTTGTGTTTTACAGATTTCTTTCTCTTTTTGTATGAGCTCTACTTGAATTTACTTGCAGAGCACCCTTAAGATATTTATGGCCTTAACAGTCTTTTGGGATTCAATAAACAAGCAAAAACCCTGCCTTCAAGCTTAAAACTTAGTCGGCCTGCCCCGCATTTTCTTAGTTGAAGATAAATTTTTCCCACTCCCTTAGCGTTTGGATGCCATCCTTATCTGCCATCTCAGTAGACCAGGCAGGATTAAGGAGAGTAGGAAGTAGGCAGTGAGAAGGGACAGGGCTGTAAGTGAGGAGATGAGTACTAGTTATATAAATTAACTTTGACTTTAGGCGCATATTGTGTATCTGGTTAGGTAATAGAGTATTTTACTCTGAAACCTGACAGACTCGTAACTTTCCTTTTTCACTCTTGGTATTTTCAAAACTAAAAACAGTAGAAGCATCTTGATTGCTCAAGTTTTCCGCAGCTCCTTTTCCCATCATATTGTCACCGTGTTTCAACTAAAACATTTGGGCATTTTTACATTTCAACTGTTATACCTTAAGCCTCAAGTGAGAGAGAAAACCGAAGATTTTGTTAAGTAAGTTCTTCCCTTGAAGTAATGTTTTAAGATTTGTTTTTGTTTTCTTTTCTCTCTTTGCTCTTTGTCTGTCTTCAGTCTTATTAAGTTGTGGCAGTATTTTTTGAAAGGGAAATTTACCTTCCTGAATCTTAAAAAAGGCCCTCTGACTTGCTGTTGATTCAGCAGATATTTGAGAGCCTACTCTTTGCCAACTCCTGTTGTAGGCATGGAAGTACAGCAGTAATCAAGATAAAGTCCCTGCTGTCACACAGTTTACAGTTTAGAAGGGAAGACAGAACATAAGGAAGTAATTATTAAATATCATGGAGGATAGTGATAAGTGCGGTGACAAAAATAAGGCAGCGTAAGAGGACAGAGAATGATGTGCTGCTGTGTTAAATAGAGAGGTCAGGGGAGGCCTCTTTGAAGAGGTGACAACTGAGCAGGGACCTGAATGAAGTGAGTGTCATGTTAGTACCTGGTACTTTTCTTTTTTTTTTTTTTTTTTTTAAAGATTTTATTTATTTATTTTTTCCCCCAAAGCCCCAGTAGATAGTTGTATGTCATAGCTGCACATCCTTCTAGTTGCTGTATGTGGGACACGGCCTCAGGATGGACGGAGAAGTGGTGCCTCGGTGCGCGCCCGGGATCCGAACCCGGGCCACCAGCATCGGAGCGCGTGCACTTAACCACCAAGCCACGGGGCCGGCCCAATACCTGGTACTTTTCTAATGTAGTGGCTCACCTTAAACAGCTGAAACAGGGAGAGCAACTGATGAGGAGGAAGCAGGTCTCCTGTGAAATCCAGCACGCCTAGGGGTGACAAGAAGGAAATGGAGGCGGAGACAACCATTGGACTAGAGAATATAGATATAGGATACCTTGATGATAACGTATTGGTTTCGAGTAATGCCTTAGCATTTAGAAGTGATGTGACAAAAGAAGTCTTCTCTTTCTGGGATATTTGGAAAGAAGGAAACCACAAAGAAAAGAAAGAAGCATATCCATTCAACAAATGCTTGGAGTGCTAGGTGTTCTGCTAAATACGTAGTCCCTGCTCTCAAGGTGCTCACAGTCTGTTTAATTGAAACAGACATAGGGCTGGTAGAGGGACAAAGATAAATTGAGCTTTCTTTGCAATTTTGCGTAGGGCTGGTTTGTCCAAAATTATCTCTATATGTTAATCTTGTCTGTGCTTCAGTTTCCTTATTTATAAAATGATGACCTCATAGGGTTATTGTGAAGATTCAATTAATAAAACACCCAGAACAGTGCCTGATTCATAGTAAACACTCCATGAATTTTAGAGAGGAGTCGTAGTATAGTGGTGGCTGATGCCTATGCTAGTGAGGTGTTTTTGGGAGGTGTTTGAAATTGGCGAGAGCGTGCCGGCAGTGTGTCTGATGATTGTCCTTATCAGTAGATCTATGATGAACTTGTATGTTTTCCTCATTTTCAAGATTTCTGCCTATCTGTGATTCATGTCGTCTGAGAGCATGCACATGAGAGTGGAAATTTTGGTTTGATTTTTAAGAATCCTTGGGCTTATTTTGAACAGTCAGTTTGGAAGTCAACCTCCTTTAGTCCTTTTTTTTTTGCTGAGGAAGATTCGCCCTGAGCTAACATCCACTGCCAATCTTCCTCTTTTTGTATTTTTGTATGTGAGCCACTGCCATAGCATGGCAGCACACAGATGTAGGTCTGTGCCCAGGAACTGAACCCCGGGTCGCCAAAGCGGAGTGTGCCAAACTTGACCACTAGGCAACTGGGGCTGGCCCTCCCTTAGTCTTTAATAAACTTTTGGATGTCTACTCTCAGTGCAGAGCCTAGCAGCTTGCCAGACTCTGAGGATATATTATATATTAAAGCAAAGAAATGGTTGTTATTCTCAGGGAGCCTGTGTGGGGCTTTAATTATTCCTGCCATTATGAAAATTTATTTATTGCTGTCTCTATGCCATGTAGAATAGTGAACATCGGAGGTGCTCAGTAATTTGAAGAAATGAATCAAGAGAATAAAACTGGAAAATATGAATGAAGTTGACACCTATAGATTGTCTGTTTACATTCCATGATGACCTTATGATTAAAATTTTTTTCTTACAAAAGGAAAACAAATTCCTTGTAGAAAAATTTGAAATTAGTTTTTAATAACCAGAAAATAAAAATGGTCTATACTAGATAGTTTTTGAATGTACATATATATAATATGAGTTCGAGGGATATTACTTAGTATTTTTTAAAAGTTCTATTGATGTATAACATACATTCAGAAAAGTGCATGTAAATGTGCAGCTTGATATATATTCACAAACTGAACACAGCCAACTAGTCAACACTCAAATTTAGAAAAAGAACACTACCAACACCCCAGAAGCTCCCATTATGCTCCCTGCTTTCACTGCTAAGAGCGGTAACTGCTATCCTGATCTTTAATGGCCGAGATTTGCCTGCTTTTGTACTTTATATAAATGAAACTATGTAGTATGTGCATAGTTCTTATAGCCTGCTTATCTTAGTATGATGTAGAACAATAGTGATATGTTTACAACATAATTTTAATGGCTGCATAGTATTCTAGCTTATAGGTACACTATAATTTATTTAACTAATCCCTTGTTGGTACATTTATGTAGTTTGTAGTTTTTCACCGTTAATAAATGACACTATGATGAATAAAGATCTTTTAGTGCATCACTGATTATTTCTTTAGAATAAGTTCTCAGACATGGAATTGCTGGACAGAAGTTATACAATTCTGAAGTATTTGATGTTTGTTGCTAAATTGCCCTGCGGAAGACCGTACCAAATTACATTTCTACCAGCAGTATGGGCAAGTAGCCATTTCCTAAAATTCACCATCACCATTTCCTTGAATACCCGTCATTTGGGTATTGTCATTTAAGAAGATATTTGTCAGTTTGAATGTAGGAGAAAACTGATATCTTATTGCTCTAATTCAAATTTGATTCTTGTGAAATTGGACATTTTTCTCATAGGTTTGTTGGCTATTTGCATTTCTTCTTCTGTGAATTATCTTTATGTCTTTGTCTCATGTTTACTTCTTAGTTTTTTTTCTTTTTTTCCTGTTTGCAGACACCAGATCAAACTAGGGTACCCTGTGCTTGCAGCATATAGCAGAGGGGGATGAAAGTGTAGAGCACATGCGCATAGGGGAACTGGGAACTGGGGCAGCATTCTTACACAGGTATTTATTGAGCATCCACTCTGGGTTTTATACTGTGTACCAGTACTCAGGACTCTCTTGGACTGATTTACATTGATGCTGTGTGGTAGAAGAAACCTGTTTTTCTGAAGTCTGAATTCAGTATGTCTAGAAGTAGAAGTTCTCTAAAAGGCCAGAATCTCCCATGTATTTCTCCTCTGCGAGAAAAAGAGAAATGCATGGAAAGTAAAGCAGCTTAGACATGGATTAAGAAGCAAGGAGGACTGACAGTGGCAGAGAGAGGTGGAATAAGATCAAAAGGTAGTTTACAGCCATAACCATGAGATTTTCACATGCCTCATGGTTCTCTTCATGTTTTTTATTTATTTATTTATTGGAAACTCTCGTTTGCCAGTAATATGGAAATATCTGGGAGAAACCAGTAGGGTACTCTTGTCATGGTCCAGATGAAAGATAAGAGTCTGAATTGAAGCGCAGCTAGAATTAATGGCATGAAAGGGAAAGATTTGAGAAATTTTCCATGAAGATTTTGTCATCAAGAAAAAGTTAAATTACGTTTCCTGTAATCCGTTTCTAAAAGATTTATTGTGATTATCCATCCGAAATAAGGTAGTGATGTTTGGCATTTAAAGATGTGTTTTCAGTTATTTTGACGTTTTACTTTTGTGCAGCAACCTTGTTTTCTGATGATGTCAGATAAATGAGGCATTTAGGTTAAATGTGATTTTTGCTCTTCTACAACTTTTAATCTTTTGAGAAGACATTTTGAAGCAGATGCAATAGAGTATCTAAAGGCTTTTCTTTGGTATCAGTTTTCTCTGATTAGGAAACTGAGGCACAAGGGATTTGAATAACTTCTTACTGATACTGTGCAGTATGTTGGCTATGGAATCAATGTCAGATATGTCTGATTACTACATTTGCCTCTCTCCTGTCACTAAAATGTACTTCATGTTAATATTTCTCTGTGAAAAAGTAAGGGGGGAAATGGGCATATTATTGTCAGTTTTATATAAGCATTTAAATTATTCTCTAAATTCAGACTCATTTATTAGTTCCAGCAGTAGGTACAACTTTCATTGTATTGTTATATATATCTGGGAAAAAATGCTCCTGGGCCATGAATTTTAAAAAGTTAATGTGCTAACCAGCATTTTCAGTGATCCACTTATCACTAATTCACTACTTGAACTGGTCTTATGCATAAAGATCAGAATTTAGACTCAGATGAGCTATGTGAAGCTGTATAGCTATAGAACAGTGATGAAGAATGGAGTTAGATTGCCTGGATTAAATCTTAACCAGCCTTTTACTAGCTGTTTAACTTAGCAGAATTTACTGAATTTTCTGTGCCTGTTTTATCATTTATTTAATAAGGAGCCTAGTAGTACCTGCCTCATAGGCAGGCAGCATTAAATGACAATCTGCCTGCAAAGCGTTAAAATGATACTCTATACATAATACTTAGTATGTAGTAAGTGGTCAATAAATGCAGCCTATTAATAAGCAAACTTTACGCAAATTTGTATTTACGTTAAAGATAAATTCTGTCTTTATAGAAGAATTTGTTTTAGTATAAGATTCATGATAGTGTGAGATAAGTATTTCTAGTCCATTTAGAATTGAAATACCATTTTAGAAACATCTGTTGTGGAAAATAAGGTATCTACACAAAAATTCTTATATACCTATAATTGTTACAATGTGATATCCTTAAATTATCCTATTAGAAGAATCTATCCCCAGATTTTCTTTTAATTAATAGGTCCTTTGAAAAAATATCAACATGTTTTTGTTGTCTTTTGACTGAATACGTAGATCCTTTGGCATGTAAAAACATTCCATTTAATGTAGTAAAGATCTCTGGCCTTCAGTAATTTATTTTTGGAAACATTTTTGGATCAGTTCCCGCCATTGGAGAAAGAGATGAAATGGATCCCTCATTAGAGCTGTATATAAGCTTGTAACTCTCAAGCTTTGAAACTGGTGATGAAAAACAAGGACAAAGTATTTTTCCCTTCTGTCTTCTTTCTAAGGACAAATTTTAAAAATGTAATCCTGCCCATTAGGCCTTATGACAATAAAAAGTGAGCCTTTCACATGACTTGTCACTTGATTTCTTTTTTACTAGAAATATTGCTTACCCTCCTTCATTCTTTAAAATATTTAGTAAGTGATAAGAAGTTTGCTGGCTGTAGAATTTATTGGCGTAAATAAGCGTTCTGATACTTTTCAGCATGGTAGTCCTTCGACTTCATCTCGTAAACTTAATAACTAATATTAAGGTAGGATTCGCTTTTGAAAGCACATTTTTATTGTTGTTAGTTGCTATTGAATGCCTACTATTTGCGTGATACCAAACTGGAGCCTTTATACACATTATCTCATTTAAATTTTACAACAACTCTGTGAGAAATGTTATTATACCAATTTGTAGTTAAGGAAACTGAGGCTCAAGATGTTAAATAACTTTTATAGCTAATATAAAAGAGCCAGGATTCTAACTATGGTCTAATCACTCTTACTGCCTACTGTTCTATGATTTATGCCACATTGACTTTCCAAACTGATTCTTATCATAAACGTCTTGTTTGTTTTGAAGAATTTATGTACATATGTGAGCATGAATACATGTTTATGTGTGAAAGACAAAAAGACTCTACACCAAGAAGTTAGTAGTGGTTATCTCTGGGTGGTGGGTTTATGTGTGCTTTTTAGAAAAATTTTTTTGTTTGTATTTTCTACAAACATGAACATATATTATTTTGTAATAAATATTTTTGTTACATATTGAACTTAGTAATTGAGACATGGCATTTCTAATTTATTGTTGCTTCTTTCTAGATCAATTGGCCTTACTCCCTCAGTGGAAATCTAGTCACTATGATGTGGTAGTTGGTGTGTTGTCAGCTCGCAATAACCATGAACTTCGAAATGTGATAAGAAGCACATGGCTGAAGCATTTAATACAACATCCAGCGTTAAGTCAACGGTAGGTTTTCTGAGTTGACACTTCCTCTTATTTACTGAATAAGAGTTCTGAAAAACCTTCTTGGATAGTCAGAGATGTTAATTCAGGTATGTTAATTTCTCCTGGGAGAAATGGCTGTTTCATTTTGCTGGCTGGGCCACAAAAGTAAATTTAACCAAGGATTTAAGCCAAAAGGTAGTTGGAGGAGAATATATTCATTGGTTAACATGCCTACTACTGTATTTATAGATATCTAGTTTTTTGTTTTTGGGTTTTTTTTTTGCTTTAATTTAGAATAGCAATTATTAAAAGGTTCTATTCCAGAATAATTCTCTGCTTAGATATGTTTGTGTCTAAAAATGCTTTTCACTAACTTCACAGAGATACACTTAATTTGTTCAGTTCTATAGTATTTTTCAGTTGATCTGCAGTGCATAATATGCCGTGCTCTTTTTCCTGACTACCCTTCCAGGGCTGAGCTTTGTTAGCACATCTCATGTTGACATTAGATGGTTCAGTTATTGGTTAGGAGCCCAAGACCTTAGTCTTCTCAGTGCGACCAGCCTCTTAAGATTATGTAGTGGAGGGGCTAGTAGAAGAGAAGCATGGAAGGTTGGACTTCTAGTTATGTGAAGAGGTATTAAGCAGAGAAGGATTGCATTAATCCTGAGAGGCATGTTTGTGTCTGAGTAGCTATACAACCAAATTGCAGTTGTGAATTTTCTTGTCATCAGTAGTAACATTTATAGATTTCCTATCACACTCATAGTAGCTTTCATTCCTTTTCAAGACAGGTTTCTGTAGTTCATGATTGCAGTGATAATAGAACCTATTACCCAGCAAATGAAAGGCCTCAGAATAACCACTACCATCAAAACCATCTCCAAAACCTGCCCTTCCTGTTGTCTTTCCCATCTCAGAAAATGATGACCGCTCTCTACCAGTTGCCCAGACCAAAAACCTTGGCGTTTTTGTTGTAAATGGGGGAGTAAGTTCCCCTTGTGGGATCTTCAGGAATCATTCCAACATGGCCACAGAAGTTTCACTGGGAGAGGCATATGAAATTAAAGGATTTCTTATACTCACAGGTCCTAGAGAGGGAGGCACAGACGCCACGCAGGGGGCTGTACGGGAGGAGTGTCCAGGGAGCGGGCTCAACCAGGCTGAGAGAGTGAGGGCCCGTGGGCAGGTGCCTTTACTGGGGACAGGGTGGAGTAGACAGCAGAAGCCTCGAGGGGATTTCATTGTTGTGTTTGAATGTCACAAGAGAGGGCAAGAAGGGGAACTTGTGGCAGGGCACAACCTTTTCACACTGGTGCATTTAGTCACCTGGGCAGGATGCTCACAGCCCGTTTGTAGGGATATTGAGGCATCAGGCCAATATGAAGTTTTAAAAATTTACAATACAGTGTTATTTTGATTCTTCTTTCTCAGAAATGTCCTTGTCTGAATTTCCTGCTTCCACCTTTAATCCCCTATATTTTATTTTCCGTACAGCAGCCAGAGTGATCCTTTTAAAATTAGTCAAATTATGTCAGTTTTCTGCTCATATCCCTCCATCGACTTCCCTTCTTGTTTAGAGTGAAATCCCAAGTCTTTATTGTGGTCTTTGACCTTATCTACGTCTACTTCCTCTACAGTAGCCACCTTACTTCTTCAATAGCCACTACTGCTTCAATACACTAAATGTGTTCCAGGGCCTTTGCACTTGCTGTTCCCCCCGCCTGTACCACTCTTCCATTGGATCTCCTCACAGCTCACTTCGTCACTTTCTTCAGGTCCTGCTTAGATGTCACCTTAGCAGCCAGCCCCAAATTAAATAGCATCCCACCCCTATTCCATCTCTATCTTCTCCTATTTGGCTTTATTTTTCTTTATAATACTTATCACCAACTGGCATGTTTATTATATTTAGTTGTATATTTATAAATTGTCTTTTTACGCTAGAATATAAGTTTCATGAGCGTGGGGGCCTCAGCTTTTTTCATTGGTATATTCCAGTACCTAGAACCTAACTTGGGACAGAGTAAGGCACTCAACATTATTGAGTGAATGACCCAGAACTAAATGTAGTGAGTAAAATTAACATTCGGACATTCACCAGTAATTTATTTGCCATCATAGCATTCTTGCTTTAAATTTACTAAGTTTGATGATTGTTTTCTAAAAATGATGGGATATCTATTTAAAAATATTAGTCAGAAACTTCCTGGGACAGAGTAGTTTTGTGGCTCTAGTAAAAAGTGTTTAAGATGGCTTAAAAAAACAAATTTTGATGAATATCTGCAGTAGTTCAATTAGCAGATTTGTTCATTTCTATTTATACTTTTTTCTAAATGCTAGTTGTTTATGAAAGGTATTCTGCCTTAATTGGCCGTTAGTGTAAGAAAGTGTTTGCATTTCTGTGGTTGTGGCTTACTGTCAAATCTTGTATTTCACTGAAGGAGCCAGACTCCACAGATATTTTGAGGACCTTATTTAATTGTAAGCCTTTGAAATAAAATCATAAGTTGTCAGTTTCACAAATATTTATTAAGTGTTTTCTGTATACAGGTAGTGTATTATGTGTGGTAGAATATCAAGATAAATACAGTATAGCCTGAGTCTTTATGGGGGCCTGAAGTTTAGTAGAAGGAAATAGATGCAATAGTGTAATAAAATGTTATATGTGTTGTGATATAAATAGATATAAAATAGCCTGGAGTGTTTGGGAAACTCCGATCAGTTCTGTGTAACTGGAGCACAGGGATTATGAAGGGGTGTGTGTGTGTGTGTGTGTGTATGTTTGTGGATGAGTGTGAAATAGAGTGCTAGGGAAGGGAAGAGGGGCAGAGAGACAGAGATTATAAAGAGAAAAGGAGGGAGGGCATATAACTGAGAGGTAGGCAGTGACCAGATCATGTAGAACAATTGTGTTGAGAGTTCAGTGGATGGTGAGACCTGTTTAGACAAGGACTGCTGAGGGGCTGAACTAAAGTGACCTTATTTTCTTATAAGAAAATAAGGTAATTGAATGTAGAAAGAGGAGGAAGAGTGTAGGATGATTGCTGGCTTTCTAACTTGGAGAATAATGAAATCATCAATCAAGACAAAAAATACTAGATGAGAAGAGTACGTTTCATGGGAAAGAAGCTCGGTTGTGGATATGTTGAGTTTGAGATGCCTGCAGGCAGTGGTGTGCTAGTAAAATGTTTACCAACTGGATCTTTGAAAAAAAGTATGCTTATATGTATGTATATGTTTATTGTAAATTTTATTGATATAAAAGATGCATAGCACATAATTGACAGATAACATATACCATACTCTTTATTGTAAATTCCATATAGCCAATTGATTCTCATAGAACGCTTTCATTGCCTTCCAGACTTTTGTATTTATAATGAACTTATGGTTGCAATTGACAAGAGTGTAGTTCTTTTTTTTTTTTTTTTGTGAGGAAGGTCAGCCCTGAGCTAACATCCATGCTAATCCTCCTCTTTTTGCTGAGGAAGATCGGCTCTGAGCTAACATCCGCTGCCAATCCTCCTCCTTTTTTTCCCCAAGCCCCAGTAGATAGTTGTATGTCATAGTTGCACATCCTTCTAGTTGTTGTATGTGGGACGCGACCTCAGCATGGCCGGAGAAGCAGTGCGTCGTTGCGCACCCAGGATCCGAACCCAGGCCGCCAGCAGCGGAGCGCACGCACCCAACCACTAAGCCACAGGGCCGGCCCAAGAGTGTAGTTCTGACATAAATATTTCCTTTAATTTAAAGAGTAAGATGAAAGTGACAACTAAGATATGTGACAGAACTTTACTCTTAGTCCGTGAAGTGAGTGACTTCTTTGCTGAATTAGGTAATAGGTTTTGAACAATGGAAGAGTATTTCCTCAGTTTTTTGTACTATTTACAATAGCATGGCTACAGTCACGTCACATTTTTAAGTTTAATGTACATCATTAACATTTTCTCCGTCACTTTCTTTTTTTTTTTTTTTTCTTTTTTTTGTGAGGAGGAGTGGCCCTGAGCTAACATCTGCCAGTCCTCCTCTTTTTGCTGGGGAAGACTGGCCCTGGGCTAACATCCATGTGCATCTTCCTCCACTTTATATGGGGTGCCGCCACAGCATGGCTTGCCAAGTGGTGCATCAGTGTGCACCCAGGATCTGAACCGGGGAACCCCGGGCTGCCGCAGCGGAGCGCGTGCACTTAACCCCTTGCACCACCGGGCTGGCCCCTCCATCACTTTCTTAAGTCTAGACAATCAACAAAATAATATTTGTAGCGTTTGCCAGTTTCCATGGTGTAAATATTCCCACCAAGGCCAGTTTCAGGCAACTAATGTGACGTCTGTGAACATAGAGTTGGGGAAGATATGCAGTAGCACACCATTATAATATTTCAACCATACGGATATCATAGGTATAAATGTCCTCAAAAGCATAGATAATAGTGAAATAATTAATGATGAATTTGACTATTTCCTTTGTTTTTAATATAATGTATTTAATTTTAAGTTTATGTAATTTAATTTTTAATAAAGATTGGCATATGTGTGTGGTGATGGATTGTAATTAGTATTTGGGTGGTGAACATGATGTTATCTATGCAGAAATAGAAGTGTAATAATGTACACCTCAAATTTATACAATGTTATAAACCAATGTTACCACAATAAAAAAAAAAGATTGTGCTTAATAACCAGCTCACAAAGTTCCTGAAAATTTAGCAATTGGGTCTCACAAGCCAGTAGTAGCAGGCTGCAGCATATAACTGTCTGTGTGCCGTCTAGGAGATGATGTCCAATGAATTTATGGATCTTTTACTTAGAAGGTGGGTCCAAACTAGAGCTGCTAATGCAGGAATCATTCCCAGGCTAACTGAAGTCTTGGGAATAAATATTGTCCAGGGAGAACAAGTGAAAAGAGTGAGTAGAGTGGGAAGAGATCCAAGGGCAGAGCCCTGGGGTAATATCCTCTTTTAAGGGACAAGCTGGGGAAGTAGAGCCAGTGGCGCTGACTAAGCAGGGCCACGGAAAGAAAGGAAGAGAGCACTTTAAGGAGACTAGCACTGTCGAGCCGGAGAAAAGTCAAGTAGGTAAGGGTTGAAGAGTGTCTGCTGATTTAGTAGCAGATCAGTGGTTATGTTAGTGGTAGACATCTCAATGGAAGTGGTGGGTGTTGAAGCTAAAATTTCTGTTTTATTAAATGAATGGGAAATGAGAAACTGGAGACTGCAATTTTAGTTAATTCTCTTGTAGGACTTCGCTGTAAAGGAAAAGGTCAGGACAAGGAAGGATGATAGTATATAGAAATTAATGTCAGGACTTCATCATATTTATAACATGTAGGGAAGGAGCCATGGGTTACAGGTAACCAGTGAAGCAAGGTCTAAGAGGGGAGAGGACCTCCTCTTGAATAGAGAGACTAATCTTGAGCAAAAAGAACACCTTCTGAAATAGAAGAAAGCAAGTAAAGAATATTGCAGACATAGATATGTTTTCAGGTATGGGCATGACAAGTTGACTTGACTATAGTTTGCTTTTAAATGGTATGAGCATTTGCTGGGAGCCAGGCCAAACATGGTCATACTTGCTTTACTCTAGTACTGCAGTAGAGGGCTTACGCATAAGTCACTTGGTAGTTAGCAACTTTTGGTTTGCTTATTCCCCCTTTTTGCTAGACTAGAAGAATAAAGTTAGAATTACTCCTAATAAATACTTGTGTCTCAAAGTAAAAGCTCTGAAATGGGCATGAGGAAACGTGCATGTGCAAGGTGAAGATCAGTAACTGATGTTAATGCCAACACGTCTCTCAGTGTGCTTGTGAAGTTCATAATAGGTGCTCATGGCTGTGAAGTGCCTGTGGAAGACAGAGAAGATCCTTACTCCTGCAGACTACTCAACATCACGAATCCAGGTAAGTCTTCTTTTTCCTCAGCCCTAAGACTGCCATACACAAGTTTGATGTGGGGAAAAATTGCCCAGCTGAATGGTATGGTGTCTGTTTTTAGCATACTAAAATCTAGCTTTCGTCAAAATTTGTCTTTCATCCTTGTTGATAGATTGACTAATCGCTCAGTGTGTCTATGAAGATTCTTTATAGATATATATAATTTCAGGATCCAGGAAAGTTTATTTTTCAGTGTGGTTCAAATGTGTTTGGAAATTCCTTATGCATAGACAAATCCTGAATTACTGAATTTTGAACTTTGGGAAAACTGCTGATTTCACTAGCCTGTTGCTTTATAATAGCCTTGATATAAATATTGTGAATCAACTTTCTCTTAGAATTATTGCTTAAGCTTCTGCAAAAGAAACAGTAAAAAATTAAAAACAGAAGTAATATTTTTTATTCCTTACAATTAAAAATTTGTGGGAGTTCTGATGAGGATGAAGAAAGGTGATCCTAATTCATTTCTCTGTGTTACAGGGAACCAGTTTTAGAAAGTTGATAACTATAATTGCCTATCTTTGTTTATTAGCGTTTTCTGTTGTGTTTGGCTGTGGTTCTAAGGGCAATTACACTTTTCCAAATCTTAAATGTGCTGATTATGACTTCTGGTATTTTACGATTTGTCAAACCTCTATAATTATATCCACCTTGCTTTTATAGGCAGCAATAGTGTAGTGGTTAAGAGTGTGGGCTCTGGAGTCAGGCTCCATGGCTTTAAATCTCCGCTCAGCCATTTTCTAGCTCTATGACCTCAATCAGTTATTTACTCCTCTGTGCCTCAGTTTCATCATTTGTAAACTGGGGATAAAAGTACGTACCTCATAGGGATTGACATGAGGATGAAATAAGTTGATACATATAAAATATTTAGAGTAGTTCCTGGGACATGGTAGGTACTTAATATTGTTATTTTAAAGAACCTGTGTTTTTATAAACTTGAAGTTCAGTCAGCTTTTTTAATACATTGACTATATTTTCAGGTCTGTGTTGTAAAGCAGAGGTTTCTTACTTAGGATGTCTATGAATTCAGTTAACGTTGTAAACAAAATTTTGTGTGTAATTTTGTTTTTCTGGGGAGATGGTCTTTTGGAGTCCCCAAGGGACCATGAACTTAATAAAATGTTGTGTTAGTGATGATGTAAGAGTAGCCTAGAAAAAATTACATTTGAAATCCAAAACCAAACCAAATTTAAAAAACCTCACCTTTAAATTAACCAGACTTCTATTAAAGTGCTATTACTCATTAATAATAAAGGAGTGGAGCTTTCTATTAATGAAAATTTTTCATGTATGTATTACCTAGGTTACAAATTTTAAAAAATAGGCATGATTAAGTTAATATTGAACCTAATTTTATCTTTTTGATGATTCAAACAGCATTTAGGTTTATTTCCATATCTTAAGGTCATCATGAGCATTAATCATGATACTCTGGATGTGTAGAAGTTTTGATTAATAGCATTATCAAAGCAGCAGGATTTCCTGTGTCCAGGTAGCTTGAAGTTCAAGGTACATTTGTTTTAGATAGAAAATATGTAGTTATGTTATAATATGCTTAACCTATTGCCTATAATAGACATGCTTCTGCTTTGGATATCTTTTATTTACTGAATATATTACAGAGAAAACTTCTGTTGTCGTACAGTATATTTGGAGTCTAGGCTCTCCAGCCAGTGCTTGCCCTCCCATAACAAAGTCTGTCTCCTCCTTTTTTTCCCCTCCTGCTCATGTATATCATAGGGTAGGAGCCATCGATTCTCTTTAGTCACATTTTATTGAGCATCTACTAAGTGTAAAATACATTCTAGGAATTCTAAGGGATCCAAATGATCTGCTAGGGTATGGGAAAAAATGGAATTTTTATTTATCTGAAAATAACAAGATATAATCTTTATTAATACTGAATATACTGACTGACAATACTATATGTGTATATTTTGTAAATAAATATATGAGTGTGTGTACAACTGTTTTTAACTGATGGGGTTGTGTGATCAGCAAAGTTGGAAAAACACAGCTCTCACAGATACAAAGAACTTTGCTATAAAAATCTTTTAAAATAGGTTTTTATATTATTTCTCAAAGTGGTACTGATATTCTCGGCCATACTAATGGCTTCATGTAATCTATCCTGATTCACTTATAGTAGTTGAAAACATTATGTGAAAAGGACCATTTTGGCTTTGATTAAACAGCTGTAGGGGTGTGGAAAGAGCAGTGAATTTGAACACTAAACCTGGGTTTGATTCCTGGCTCTGCCACTTTCTTTGACCTTGGGCGAATTACTTAACCTCTCTGGGCTTCAGTTTCTTAATATGTAAACTGAAAATAATGCTACAAGCACGCAGTGTAATTGTGAAGATGTAGATGTGATGGGGCATGGCGCATAGTAGGTGGTCAGAAATGCATACCGTGTTTGATCTGCTTATCTTTTATCAATATTGGATAGCAAGAGTTTTTCACTATTATTTGAAGTGATTTGTTACTTTTGTCTGTGATAATTGCCTGACACCACAAATATTTTAAATGGCCCAACAAGAAGTAGGATTTTTGGGGGCCAGCCCGGTGGTGTAGGGGTTAAGTTTGCATGCTCTGCTTTGGCAGCCCGGGATTTGCAGGTTCGGATCCTGGGCGCAGACCTACACACTGCTCATCAAGCCATGCTGTGGCGGCATCCCACATACAAATTAGAGGAAGACTGGCACAGATGTTAGCTCAGGGACAGTCTTCCTCAAGCGACAAGAGGAAGATTGGCAACAGATGTTAGCTCAGGGCCAGTCTTCCTCACCAAAAAAAAAAAAAGAGAGAGAGAGATTTTTGGAATTTGCAGAGCAAGACTAAATTTACTCATTATTTGTGACTATAGTCAGTACTGTTTTTAATATCCCTATTTATCCAACCTTTCCTAATAGATGCCTTTGAATTTAATATTCCCTTGTGGTGTTTATACATACATATGCTCACATGTGTATGCAAAAATCTATTAAAGTAGTGCTGCTAGTTAAATATTTTACTTAGGTGTGGCTGAAAACTTAGTTCTTAAATTTCAGAATAAGTTTTTTTCCTAGAAGCAGCCGTATTTCTAAAGCATTTTTTAAATTAACTGCCATTTGTGAAAGAATTACATAACAAATAATTATCTAGATTCTGCTATCAAGCCCACTTCATATTAGTAAAATGAAAGACTACATTTCCTTTTCTCATTACTTCCTTAGTTTTGAATCAGGAAATTGAGGCATTCAGTCTTTCTGAAGACACTTCATCAGGGCTCTCTGAGGACCGAGTTGTCAGTGTGAGCTTCCGCGTTCTCTACCCCATCGTTATTACCAGTCTCGGGGTGTTTTATGATGCCAACGATGTGGGTTTCCAAAGGAACATCACCGTCAAGCTTTATCAAGCAGAACAGGAGGTATGCACTGCTTTGTACAAGGTTTTCCCCATTTTTCTTTTTCAAAAACATCCGCTTTTTCCTCGTGGCATATAGTAAGTTGGGAGACTATGTAATTCTATCTGGTTGAGAGACTTCCACCTTTCTTCATTATCAATTGGATGCATTGTAATATTATAATGCTGGTTTGGGGAGAGAATACCAATGAATAAACATGTTATATCTAGAAAAGAAGGAGTTGGACCAGGTTAGAAATTCCCCACCTAAAATCCCCTGAAGCCTAAGTAATTTCAAAAGTTGGTAAAGAATATAAAAAGTTTGTGACACTTAGGTATAAGCAGGTGTTACTGTCTCTTTCTTCCAATCCTAAAAGTCCATGTGTAATACAAGGCTAACAGCTGCTTTAAATCTTTTTTGCAATAAGGATGTAAAGGGAATAAAAGTTAAAATAACTGGGGTTACTCTGTTCCTGATATTTGGGGAAATCTGATTTGTTCAGAGTGTATCCGAAGGAGTGTAGCAAGGAATTGAATTTGAAAAGATCTGTTCCTGGTTTTTAAAGATTTTATTTATTTATTTTTCCCCCCAAAGGCCCAGTAGATAGTTGTGTGTCACAGCTGCACATCCTTCTAGTTGCTGTATGTGGGACGCGGCCTCAGCATGGCCGGAGAAGCAGCGCGTCGGTGCGCGCCCGGGATCCGAACCCGGGTCGCCAGCAGTGGAGCACGCTCACTTAACCACCAAGCCACGGGGCCGGCCCCTGTTCCTGGTTTTTAAACTACACAAATTTTGAAAGAGTTATACAGTGAACACACATAATCCACCAACTAAATTCTACAGTAAACAGTTTTCTATACTTCCTTTATCACATAGATAGTTGTTCATCGATCTTTTTTTAAATGTATTTCAGAGTAAGTTGCAGGCATCAGTATACTTCAACCTAAACACTTCAGTGTATGTATCATTACCTAGACTTTAATATTTGTGGTTTTTGAAATTTTATGTACAGTGAAATGTGCACAGTGTTTTAAGATTTTATTTATTTATTTATTTTTTCCCCCCAAAGCCCCAGTAGGTAGTTGTATGTCATAGTTGCACATCCATAGTTGCTGTCTGTGGGATGCGGCCTCAGCATGGCCGGAGAAGCGGTGTGTCGGTGCGCACCCGGGATCCGAACCCGGGCCGCCAGCAGCGGAGCACGCGCACTTAACCGCAAAGCCACGGGGCCGGCCCTGCACAGTGTTTTAAACTGCATAAACCTGTGTAACCCAACTCCTATCACCATACCCCATTCTTTAGAGGCAGCCACTGTTTTCATTTTCTTTTTTTTAACCATAAACTAGTTTTGCCTGTTGTGGGACTTCATATATAAATAGAATCATATAGGGGGCCGGCCTGGTGGCGCAGAGGTTAAATGCGAGCACTCCGCTTCGGCGGCCCAGGGGGTTCGCAGGTTCAGATCCCGGGCACGCACAGGTTTGGATCTGGGCATGCACTGACGCACTGCTTGTCAAACCACGCTGTGGCGACGTCCCGTGTAAAGTAGAGGAAGATGGGCACAGATGTTAGCCCAGGGCTAGTCTTCCTCAAAAAAAAAAAAAAAATCATATAGTAAGTACTCTCCTGTGTAAGGCTTCTTTCGCTGAACATAATGATTTTGAAACTCATCCATGTTGTTGTATGTATCAGTGAATTTTTCCTTTTCCTTCTTTTAATTGCTAAGTTGTAGTCCAGCAATGTATGATGTTTATCCATTCTTCTATTGATGGGTACCTGGAATGTTTCCAGGGTTTTTCTCCTTTATTCTGTTAGAGTGATGAATCACGTTTGCTGACTTGGGAGTGTTAAACCAACCTCTTATTCCTCTTGGTGATGATGTATTATTCTTTTTATATATTGCTGGAAATTGTGTTTCTTGTGGATAGCATATAGTTGGGTCTTCCTTTTTTTTCCATTTACATTTTTTTTTTTTTTGTGAGGAAGATCAGCCCTGAGCTAACATCCATGCCAATCCTCCTCTTTTGTGCTGAGGAAGACCGGCCCTGAGCTAACATCTATTGCCAATCTTCCTCCTTTTTTTTCCTTTTTTTTTTTTCTCCCCAAGGCCCCAGTAGATAGTTGTATGTGGTAGTTGCAAATCCTGCTAGTTGCTGTATGTGGGACGCCGCCACAGCATGGCTGGACAAGCAGTGCATTGGTGCGTGCCCAGATCCAAACCTGGGCCACCAGTAGCAGAGTGCGCGCACTTAACTGCTAGGCCACGGGGCTGGCCCCCCATTTACGTTTAATGCAGTTATTGAAGTGGTTAGATTTCAGTTTTTCAGTTGCTATTTGATTTCTGTTTGTTGCACCTTTTTTTGTTTCTCTGTTCCTCATTTCCTGCCTTCTTTTGGGTTAATTGAATGTGTTTTAGAATTCTGTTTTAATTTTTCTATCGTCCTTTTAGCTATAGCTCTTTGTACTATTACATTTCATGTGTATGTTTGACATAAGGATTACCATATACATCCTGAACTTTTTAATCTCCTTAAAGTTAATGTTGTACCCCTTCATGTAAAATATAAGAACCTTGCAACTATATAATTCCATTTACCATTCCCTATCTTTTCTGCTCTAGTTGTTATATGCGTTACATCTATGTATGCATAAATCCCACAATACAGTGTTGTAATTTTTGCTTTAAACAGCTAAATGTATATTAAAGTAATTTAGAGAAAAATAGTCTTTTATATTTGCTCACCTTTTTACCATATATGGTATTCTTCATTTCCTTCTGAATATATCCTAAGTTTTCATCTGATACCATCTCCTTCATCCCAAAGAACAACCTTTATTTTTTTTATTTTTATTTTTTTTAAGATTTTATTTATTTTATTTTTTCCCCCCAAAGCCCCAGTGGATAGTTGTATGTCGTAGCTGCACATCCTTCTAGTTGCTGTATGCGGGACTCGGCCTCAGGATGAACGGAGAAGTGGTGCCTCGATGCGCACCCGGGATCCGAACCCGGGCCACCAGCATCGCAGCGCGCGCACTTAACCACCAAGCCACAGGGCTGGCCCTCAAAGAACAACCTTTAGCGTTGCTTATAGTGCAAGTTTACTGTGATGAATTTGCTTAGTTTTCGTTTTTCTAAAAATGTTTTTATTTTGCCTCCCTCCTCCCACCCCCCGCCTTTATTCTTGTGGGATATTTTCTGGATATAGAAGTTCTGAGTAGACTTTTTTCTTTTCAGTATTTTAAAGATATCACTTCAGTGTTTTCTGGCCTCCATTGTTTCTGATGATAAGTCAACCATTCTTATTGTTGTTCTCACGTATGATGTATGTAATATGATTTTTGTTTTGTTTTTCCTGCTGCTATTAAGATTTTCTCTTTATATTTGGTTTTAGCAATTTGATTGTGGTGTTGTACCTTGGTGTGGTTTTTCTTTATGCCTGTTCTGCTCAGGGTTTGCCAAGTTTCTTCAATCTGTAAATTTACGTCTTTTACCAAATTTGGGAAAGTTTCAGCTATGACTTCTTCAAAAAAGTTTTTTCCCAGCCCCATTCTCTCCACTCATTCTGAGGTTCCAGCTACATGTATGTTAGACCTTTTGGTATTGTCTCACAGATCACAAGACTGTTCATTTTTTTCGATGTTTTTTCTCTCTGTTTTTCTGGTATGATAATTTCTGTTAATCTGTATTCAAATTCACTAACTCTACTATCATTTCAAATCTACTGTTAAGCCTAGCCAAAGAATTTTTTATTTTAGATATTGTGCTTTTTAGTTCCAGAATTTCCATTTAATACTTTTTTGTAATTTCTATTTCTCTAAAATTTCATGTATTTATTCGTTTTGAGCATATTTTTTTTTCTATGGCCTTGACCTTAGTTAAAATAATGGCTTTAAAATCTAGTCTGCTTGTTCTAATATTTAAGTCATCTTGAGGTCTGTCTTTATTGATTATCATCTTTTCTCTTGAGTATGGGTAACATTTTCCTGTTTTATCTTATATTGAGGAACTTTGGATTTTATCCTAGGTATTGTGAATAATTCATTGTAGAATCTCTGTATCCTGTTATATTCCTTGAAGAGTATTGATTTTTTTTTTGGTTTTTTATCGGGTAGTTAAATTGGCTGGACACAGACTCTAAGCTCTGTCTCCTTTGCAGTGGGCAGTGGCTGAAATCTCTGTTCAGTTCTTTAGGACTTATTTGGGCTGCTTGCATTCTGTTTTGAATGTATATTTCATGAGTCAGCCACAGACTTGGGCAGAATTTATATGACGAATTTAGGGCTCTCTGTCTGTGACCTTTTCCTTTCTGGGGTTTTCCTCCTCACTTTTTAGCTGATGTGTCTTCCCCAAGTCTGTCCTCTGATTTTTCAACCAGAAAGATTGCAGGTTTTTAATTCAAGTTTTCAGTTGTCCCTCAAAGTATGCCTTCAGACACGAGCCTTAAAAAAAAAGTGGGGGAAACATACCCACTGCCTTTCTCTTCTTCCTGGTATTGATTTTCCAATCAGTTCCTTCAGTTTTCTATCTGCTTTGTTTGCATTCCAGTGCCTTCAGGTCATTTTTTTTAATGTTTTGTCAGTGTTCATACTTGTTATCTATAGGAGAATTGGTCTGATATTGGAAGCAGAACTCTGTTCAGGTTTTTTTAGGCATCTTTAAAAATGCTTTTGTATTATTATTAATGTTGATTGTTACTAACAGATACAATGTTAGAGTCACCAATAAATATACAAATCAATTTAAGGTTAAATTCTTTTTTGCAGTTTGTCCTACTCTTACTTCCTCTAAAGAATCCATGTTGTTTGTAAATGTGCTTAATGACATAAATTTAAGGGAGAGGGAACAAATCCTAATGATGATTCCACCCATTATGATAATAGTGAGAAGAGCTTTATTAAGTTACTCAAGTATAGGAGTTCATATACTATTATTGTAGTTAAAGGTTTCATTGATACCAAAGCTCAAATAGGTAAGTGAAATAGCACTACTCTGAATTCCACTGTTATCTTTATCTAGATATTAAGATTAATTTTGGATGTTTTTGATACACTTAATTATCTTAGCATATGTACTCTTTTTTTTAACTATTCATGATGTTTGATTTATCACATCAAGTAGTTTGGCTCAGATGTACAATATTTTGATCATGTTGATTTAACTTTTAGTTGCCAGAATTTTAGCCAAGGAGAAGTTAATCTTTGTCCTCAAGGAAGGCCTAATCTAAGTGGATACTATTGAGTTCACAGGTAGTCACAGGGCAAAAAGTATTACCACCACATTGCTGAGAACTGGTGTTAATGAAAGAAATATGCACAATCCATTAAAACCCTCTTAATTCTGAACTTCTGCCTGGTCTTGATAGCTTTAACAGAAGTTTCCTCTATGGTAAGTTGGTGTATAAGAATAGGCATGAGAATAAGGAAATGTTCTTGCCTAAAATGACCTGGGAAGGACCCAAAGAAAACAATAGACATAAAGAGAATCAGTGCTCTTTCATTTATTTATTTTTTTGTGTGTGTGAGGAAGATCAGCCCTGTGCCAACATCTGTCAATATTTCTCTTTTTTTGCTGAGGAAAACTGGCCCTGGGCTAACATCCGTGCCCATCTTCCTCCACATGGGATGCTGCCACCGCATGGCTTGCCAAGCGGTGCGTCGGTGCACACCCAGAATCCGAACCGGCAAACCCCAGGCCGCCGCAGCAGAGCACACGCACCCAACCGCTTGCGCCACCAGGCCGGGCCCGAGAATCAGTGCTCTGTTTTTTTTAAAGATTTTATTTTTCCCCCCAAAGCCCCAGTGGATAGTTGTATGTCGTAGCTGCACATCCTTCTAGTTGCTGTATGTGGGACTCGGCCTCAGGATGAACGGAGAAGTGGTGCCTCGATGCGCACCCGGGATCCGAACCCGGGCCACCAGCATCGCAGCGCGCGCACTTAACCACCAAGCCACAGGGCCGGCCCTCAGTGCTCTTTTATATCCCCTCTTTTGTTTCTATTTGTTTTTTCTTCTAAAGGTTCTTTTTGAAGGGGGATGCCTGAGTACCTTTGTTCTGTGTAGAAATCTGATCTTTCAGTTTATTCTTAACCCTTTGGGGTTAAGCCTACTAAGTGGGCCTAATTTAACAACATGTCACATTTCCCTTAATGGTCCTCATTTCAAGGTGAATAATTTTTTAAGGTTATGTGCATTGTATTTAGTGTTTGAGAACTTCATGACAACTTTGGTTATCTTAAACATCTTTATTTAATAAACATGATTGTGCTAGAAAACACAAATGATGCCTAAACCACAGTAGAACAGTGTTAGTAACCATGGTTGGGGCCATTTAGGATTTAGCTGACCAAGATGTAAGATGTTTGAAAACTTGTATATACAGTGTCTAACATGAAGTATTTCTTCTTGTCTTTTTTCTTTCTTTCTTTTTTTTTTTTTTTTTTTCCAAATTGTAGGAGGCCCTCTTCATTGCTCGCTTTAGTCCTCCAAGCTGTGGTGTGCAGGTGAACAGGCTGTGGTACAAGCCTGTGGAGCAGTTCATCTTACCAGAGGTACAAGGTGTAATGAAAAGTTTATAGCACCAATGCAGTCCTTCCTAGGTCTGGGTATGTGCTTTCAGAGGCAGGTACTTGATATTTTGTTGTACCAGGACAGCTCTCCAGAGTGGTAAATGAGGCTACCAACTGGGATGTACTAAAATGTAGCACTCTGCATTCATACTTCCAGAGAGCTTCACGATGCCTCAAGGTCTCCAAAACCACACTTTCTGAGAAGCGTTGAGTGTTACCATGGTTTATTTAGTGGAGCAGAGAACTGCACGAGTGTTTTAATGACAAAGGATAGTAATAGGTATGGATTGATAGAAAGACCAGACACAGATAGCATTTGAGTAAATCAAATAGTTTACTTATCTAAAGAATGGGGGAAGAAAGGTGCAGACAGGATAATGGCAAAGAGATGGGCCACATTTCCAAGATAAATCAAACTTCTCCAAGATGTGGAAGATGTCACCTTCTGGGTCCCTCTGCTTCCAGTCTTAAGTAGATATGTGCTGGAGCCCACCTCACCTGCCAAGTGCCCTCATCAGTCTTGGAGTTAAGCCACAATATGGTTGCAGAGTATTACACAATTGGACATGAACAGATTATTCATCTGTCAACCTCAGCCTTTCCAGGCTGTTTCACTCTATTCCAAGTACATTCCTGAACTCAGTGCTTTGGAACCACAGTAGGGGTCAGTTTCCTGGACATCTCTGGGGTCACTTTAAATCAGCTATAGAGTTCATCCTACAACATCAAAGCTGAGTTAAGATGTGGGAGCTAGACAGTTGACCAGCCCTGCTGACTAACCAGGAAATGTTTCTGTACCACCAGTCTTGTAGGGTACTGTTCACATTTATGCAACAACAGAATCACACATTTTATAATATGCTGTGGATCTTTGAAGTTGAGTACAAGTATTTGAAATGTTAATATATATGTTAATTCTCTGAATGTCAAAGAGATCTCCTTTATTTCACCTATATTAAACTTCCATTTAAGAATGTTTTAAATAAAAACAAAAATAAAACACACTGGAAAAAAATTTCCAATTTCTCAGTGTTATAAAAAAGACTAGTTAACATCCTTATACCTCTCTTTTGTGTACATAACTGGTTGTTTTCTTAGGATGAATTGTTGGTTCAAATTTGTATATGTTTTTAAGGCATCTGATTTCTTTCTGGAGGGCAGTTTAGCAGTTTGTATCAGCATTATGTGAGAATGCCTGTTTTCCTATGTCCTTTTTAGCTTTCATATATGAACTTTTTTCTTTGTTAAATGAAGTATCTACCATCAGAGGTATTTCTTACTTGTCATTAAGAGTAGTAGCTCAAATAAGTCATATTGGCCAAGTGTTGGGTATCAGTTTTTGAAGGAAGCCGTTCTTTGGTTTGTTTATCCATTTACTCAGAAAATATGTGTTGAGAACTTAGTATGTGCCCAGCGCTAGACTGGGAGGACAATATGAAGGTCCCTGCCCTTAAAGCAACTCACATCCTCATGACACTGATATTCTGCTTAACTTACTGTGTGTCAGACATGGTTGTAAGCAGTTTTCTTATGTTAACTAATTGGTAAGCTCCTTTAAGGTTGAAGCAAGTAATCAATGAGAGAGTCCTTCCTTTCTGCTCAGAACTAGCGTGGGCAGAACCTAACTCAGACTTTGTGCGAGTCTCAAAGGGAAAGTAATGTTATTCTGAGGATGCCAGGAGCACTAGCATTGTGTTAGCTGCTATCCAGAAAGGTCCGAAGCCTAATGTAGGGTTGATTTTCATAAAAAACTTATAAGGATTGGCATGAGAAGGAAAGAGAAAAATGATGCACCTGGGAGTGAGTAAGTATGTGAGGGCACATTTGGATGCAAGTGCCTGAGTGTGCACCTCTGGGTGCAGCATGGGTGAGTTTGAATCCCTGTCTGCCGTTCAGTGGCTCTGTGACCTTGTGTAAGCTGCTTAACCTCACTATGTCTATTTCCTGTTCTGTAAGTTGGAGGTGCTGCATGACCCAATTCAGAGGGTTATTTACTAGGGACTAAATGATTTAATACATGCAGCATGCTTAGAACATGTTGCTACATGGTAAGCATTCAGTAAATAAATGTGTACTGTCCTTATTACTGCTGCTACTCATCTGGATTTGGGAGGTCCTATTCTTCAAGGGAAGTGTTTCCCTACTCGGGGCAGTTTGCCCCCCAACCAGGGGGCATTTAGTGATGTCTAGAGACACTTTTAGTTGTTACAGCTGGATGTGGAGTAGTACCGGCATCTTGTGGGTAGAGGCCAGGAATGCTGCTGACCATCCTACAATGTACAGACCAGCCCCACAACAAAGAAGTATCTGGCACAAAATGTCAGTGGTGCCAAGGTTGAGAAACTCTAAAAGGAAGGAGTCACAATGTGGGGCAAAGAGGAAGAAAATATGTTTTAATACTTCAGGCTAATCACAACTTTTTTTTTTTTTTTTTTTGGTGAGGAATATTAGCCCTGAGCTAACGCCTGTTGCCAATCCTCCTCTTTTTGCTGAGGAAGATTGGCCCTGTGTAACATGTCTGCCCATCTTCCTCTACTTTATATGTGGGACACCTGCCGTCGCATGGCTTGATAAGCGGTATGTACATCTGCACCCGGGATCCGAGCTCAGGAACCCTGGGCCACCAAAGCAGAGCATGAGAACTTAACCACTACTCCACTGGTCCAGGCCCAAGGCTAATCAGAATTTTATGGAGTCTGCTCCATTATCTTGGTCAGCCTTATAGAAAGAGTTACAAATTTTGATTAGTCCACAAAAAATATTACTTTCCCTTAGAACGTCCTTGTTCTTAGGAAATACATGCTGAAGTATTTAAAGGTGAAATGTCGTGATATCTGCATTTTACTTTCAAGTGATTTAACAACAAACAACCGAAAGTATATAGACAGAGATAAAGCAGATATGACCAATTGTTAACAACTGGTGAATCTAGGTGACTTGGGTGTTAATTTCAACTTTTCTATAGGTTTAAAGTTTTTCAAAATAAAAATTGGGTTGGGGCAAGGGGTTACCTTCCTTGTCTGTTCAGGATGGAATATCTGGCAGTAGGTACTAATGATGGGAAGTACCCGGCCAAAAGAGTCAGTGGCTGTTTTAGTTATTAAGACTTTTAATGCCTATAGCCTTGTGATCTTTATTTTCCTTTAAGCTTTAAGCTAAATTGACTTTTAATTTTTCATTACTTCTGAGTAATATTTTTTCTTTTTAGAAACATGCAGTTACTTAAGAGTGGCTGCAACTGGGTGGAGGGTAGGATTATGGATAATTTTTATTTTCTTCTTTTCATGTATCTATTTTTATAAATTTCTGAAATATATATTAGCTTTATAAAGAGAAAAAATAAAATTTTAAAAATGAAGTATTCTTTTACACAAAATCCTACTTTTGTTGAAACCATGTTTAATTTTACATAGATATTCATTTTTGCTACATCAAGCCTAATTGGGCTTATAAGCACGGAAAGTATGATAGTGATGAGTGGTTTGCCTGCGTATCATCAGCAAAGAATGACAGAAGAAAAACGGATTGTTTATTTTTTTATTTTTTGTGAGGAAGGTCAGCCCTGTGCTAACATCTGCCAATCCTCCTCTTTTTGCTGAGGAAGACTGTCCCTGGGCTAACATCCATGCCCATCTTCCTCCACTTTATATGGGACGCCGCCACAGCATGGCTTGCCAGGCAGTGCGTCGGTGCATGCCCGGGATCCGAACAGGTGAACCCCGGGCCAACGCAGCGGAGTGCGCGCACTTAACTGCTTGCGCCACTGGCTGGCCCCGTTTATTCATTTGAGAGGGAGAAGTAGATGACTGGTTCATCACCTTATTCCCTCCACATTTCACAGTCTACTAGAGTAACACGTCAGCAGTAGAGCTTGTCAAGTAAGCAAATCTCTTGTAATGTTTTCACTGTGTAACTCACCAAAGCATAAATCTCCGTGGGGGTCACAAATTTAAATGGAGACTGCTATGTGTTTCTCTTAAAATATTTATTTCTCTAATTTCATATTTTCCGTAGTAGTCCAGTTGAAACTGAAACTCATTTCAATAAAAATACTGTTTTCATTCACCTGAGTCACCAGAGACATTATTGTTAGCATTGTGGGTACTTATACACTTATTTTTTATGCAAGTTGAAATTCTTTAGATGTGGTCATTTCTCTAATCCACAAGAAATTGTTAATGGTTACAGGCATGAAAGTATTGTATATAATTAAGTACTCTGTTGGTTTGTATGACAAATTAGAAATATGACACACAAGAATTAACAACATGTGAAGGGGGTTGCAGATAGCTTGCTTATGTTATGGGTGAGGTAATTTCTGAGACCTCATATTTCCAACCTATACCATGCTGATTCTTTTTAACTTTTATTTTGATTTTATGATCTTAGCAGAGAATTGTCATAAACAAGTTGTTTTGCATCTGAAGAGATGCCTACCTTTATGATTAAAAGGAGAAATAGAAATTCAACTTTGATATGAAGCAAGAACAGGTACAGGAGAAGGGGAGAAGATAAAGCTCCTCCCTTCCCTAAACAACTGGTGGGTTATATAATTTCAATGAGTAAACCAAGATCATTTTTTGGGCCGATAAGTTTTTCTGATAATTACTCAATTTAGTCAACATTGTTGATGTTGTTCCATGACCCATCACAAACAAAATGGAGTTGGGTGTGAGCAGGAGTCACCATGAAATAGCAAGTCAGATGCCAAGTGTCAGTTGAATGGACAGGACAGAGAATGACCTGTTTTGTCATCATATTTTCTTGATTTGTAGTTTCAAGGTGAGGCATATTTATTTGGTCACTATAGCTTTTACTTTTGGTATGTTTCATTTGAAACTGTAATCGCTAAGATTACCAGGGAACCAACTGCAACTCCAGGGGGTATTTTCTGTCCGTACCCAGTTGATTGCAGTTTTCTCTTGGCTCATATAATATACAGTCTTTTGGTTCAGCCACATCTAGCCCAGTCCTTCTTCCCT